TCCCTGGTAAAAATATTGCCAATAAACCACTATTTCAACACCACAGACTCCACTTGTTCTTTCTTAGCTGAGTTTTTATATGACTGTGTGAATTTATGTAGTCGTGATGGTGCAGCACAGCTATTTCAAAGATCTAATTGACGTCAAGATTGATGTGATTCATGGGAGTCATAGGATCCCTACCACTGAAAAAAGTCCAGATTAAATTATATGCATTTGTGCAGTTCTACAGTTTGCTTCTCAGCAGATGATTGTGGATTTCATACACTTCATCAAGGATAATTTGAAAGTGCCCAAAGTCATTGATCTTCGACAAACTCCTCAGCAGTTAGTTCCAGGCAGAGACTGGCACAAGACCAAATTTTACAAGTGGGACAGCTGCAGGCCCTTACTCTGCCACCTCCTTTTCATCCTTTTTCATATCATGCTTGTTACATCATCTGTAGAAAATCTATATAAATATATAAACTAGGGAAGAAGTTCATCAGGAAAGCCATTTTTAATTAGGTCACTGATGCTCCACTGATGCTATGTTTTTAGCTTCTGATTGAGGCAAAGACACATAGACTGAGATACAAAAGCAAGCAGACACAACCAGAAACTGAAACCACTAACAATGCTGGCTTTCGTGTGATTTTTATAACCATTTGGGTTAATTCACTTAGTTAAACTATTCTGCACAGCTTTAAAGCACAGGTCCACATCAGTCCTGCCTGTTAGTCTCTGATGGCACCTTAAAGCAACCCTTCCCCATGCTTGCCAATCTCTGTGTGACTTCAGGGTGGCCAGGTTGGAGGGAGATGATGGCAGAGTTGAGGAATTCAACTGCTTTGGAGTGATGAGGAGCAAGACATGGCCCTCAGTCTGTGATTTGAGATGGGACTGAAGCATGTTATACTTTACACAATGCGATCCTCATAAGAAACCCTGTCAGCAGTTTATATGAATATTCTCAGAATATGCACATATATTCTGTAATGAAAGGAGTGATTTTTTTCCCCTACCTATCTTGTTACCCCTTTAATATTCTCTATGACAGATTTCCTTAGATCACCACAGGACAGCCTCATCATAATGCTATTCTGTTCCTTTATTCTGAAGAAAACATGTTAGTAGAGCCTGTAGAAGCCTTTCCCTGTTTATCTCTATGGCGCTATCAGTACATTAAGTGCACTTGCCATCCCAACAAAGCATGCAAGGTGGTAAGTTTAAAGAGATTAAATTCTGCTTCTAGTGACACAGGAGAACTAAGAAGGGATAGGGATGATCTTTTCCTGATATGACTAATCTGAGTTATGTGTCAACAATTAACAAATGTCCACTTTAGGAATCTGATAAAGTGAACAAAATTATCAGAGTACAGTGAGCACGTGCACTATTGCAGAATTAGCCCATTTCATTCTGTAACATGCGCTGTTACAGCGTGGAGCCACCTGGCAGCTGGAATACAAGCAGCCTTGGACGAGCTCAGGAAAGACATTGCCACGCTTTCACACTCTTGTTTGAGCAGGCTGAATGAACCATCCGAACGGGCTCACTTCTGTTCTGCATGAAGCGATGAGTAAATAAGCACAACGTCCTTTTGCATGTAGCAAAGTGGGTCAGCAAAATATTGCTGGTAATGTGCTAAAATACAGTGAATGCTTTGTACTTTTTGATTTACTGCTCTGTATGAACTCTGTATGCTTCCTTATATCATAATTAGGGGGTTGCTTGTGGCTGTGTTTCGGAGGAGTAAATTTTTCAAAAGAAAAAAACCCACCTAGGTGAGCTGGCAATTCCAAGATTTGGGGAGGAACAAAGGAGTATAAATTACATGTTGATCAATAGCATTGTTAAAAAATACTAAAAGCAAAACTAAAAAAAGCCCATATTGTCATCAGAATTACAGATCAAATCAGAACAGGGGATAAAACTGTTAAGATACTTTGTCAGACATTACATTTGTTACATTAGAGTCATTACAAAGCAAAACACAAACCAGGACATGGACAAAAGAGCACAGCCAAATTCAGACTCAGCAGGCAGAGCTGACGACAGGCAAAAACTGAAAAGGACTGATCCAGGCTAGGGACTGGAAGCAAGGAACAGTTTCCTTGCAGGGTAAATAATGCAGCTTGGTGAGGGGACAGGAGGATCCTTACCAAAAGGCTAAGAATGACTAAACAATATATACTTGTGTCACTATTGTCATAGCAAAAAAAAAAAAAAAAAAAAAAAAAAAAAAAAAAAAAAAAAAAAAAAAAAAAAANAAAAAAAAAAAAAAAAAAAAAAAAAAAAAAAAAAAAAAAAAAAAAAAAAAAAAAAAAAAAAAAAAAAAAAAAAAAAAAAAAAAAAAAAAATCACACTATAACAAATGTATGACTAACAAGAAAAGAGGCAATTTTTCTTCTTTATGTCGATGTTGAAAAGGACAAAGCCCCATTGTTTTTTCTTAACACCATTATACCAATGGCATTTGCTGATGTTTGTGGTAGTATTTCCTTGTGGCAGGAGGCTAGAAGTTATGAACAGGAGGTACTGCTAACATTGTATGGAACATAGGAGAAAGAAATATATGATGCATGTTTGTGTTCATTAAATGAATTCTTCAGAAGAAACAAGATAAAAATAAAGATTGGCAGCCTTGCATGAGTAACAATATTGGGTGCTGTGGATGGATTTTTTGGTTCAATCTCTGACACAAGCAACTCACTCTCCTGCAGATGCTTGCTTTTCTAGAATGCAATGAACATCTCTGGGTTTTGCTTCAGATGAAAAGAATGATTCATTTCTCTATTACATTTCTATGAAATTTGTCACCCTCTAACACCACTCGCAGCTATCCTTAAGCAAGGAAAATACTTGACAGTTCTGAGTGTGTGCCAGAGTGAAAAAATAAAGCATCTAAAGTAATGTAAACATCATGTTAGGCCTAAAAAGATAGAATAGGAACAGCCCTTTTCAGCACCATGTGTTTGAGCAGACACAGCGGTGGGATGTGTATCTGTTTTGCTGTGTTCTTTCATTTACATTACAAAGGGATGTTTTTGGCAGAAAGTCAGTGTAAGCAGCATTCATTATTCCTTTAAGCGGCTTGATAATTCAGTATGGTAATACGCTGCAGACTGTCAATGCTGTCAACCATCCACTAAGAAATAAATTAAACTTTGTTCCAGTATCAGTATTTCTGTATGCAGTCCTGAGATTAAATGAGATTGGAGATCTGACCATGGGGTGACAACTAGTGATGGTTGATATGTTTGTGAGACGTTTTGGGTGAGACAAAAACCACCAGAATAGAATAAAACATGTGAAAGTAGTCATCGTTAGCTTGGGGTATGAAAATCACAGAAAATGAGAAAAGTGATTCAAGCTGACAAAAAAAAAAACCCAAAACAACACAATAAAACACACCAAAAACAACAAAAATAACCAAGCATAAACCAACCCTCAAGTATATCTTTGAAGTCTAGCTCAAATATTGAAAGGAGAAATGAGTTTCTCATGCAGCTTTGGATATATCTAAATGGTTGCTCAGAGTCAGGGGCAAAAAGTCAGGGGCAAAAAAAGTGAAACTTCTAGGTACCAAAGCATTTAATCCTTAAGTAGCCATTTAAACTAGGTCTGGTGAAGTACCTCTTTCTTCGTCTACTTTATAAAGGGAGCACAACTGACTTATGTGCATGAAGACACAAACACTGAAGGTATCTAAAGTCACCCAAGTGATTAATCTTCAGCACCTAGAAACATTTTCATTTACATGAGTTTATTCACCTTGGCCATGTGATGATGACTGACAAATTGGCTGCTTTAAAAGACTCTTGAAAAGCTCGGTCCCACCAGGAGGGAAGGTCCACACTGCAGTGGTGCCACCTGGAAGTCACAGCATAACTCTCAGCACCCAACTTTTCTGCAATGAATAGCTGCTGAGTCTCCACAGATTTGCTCTATGGGGAATGAAGGAAGAGGGAGACTGCTACAGCAAGAAATTCAGAACTGTAACCTGACATCAGTGCTTTGAGGCTGCATCTATATTAGTGTTTTAGCCTGGACCAGAAGAGAGCAGAGCTTTTAAAGATAAGTTCCCAATTCTTTCCCCCTTCTGGGCGTTTGTTCATATTACTCATTCACACAGTCTCAGGAAACAGAAATATTATTTGGTTTAGATCAAATAAACTGGAAGATGGAGATCAGGAGTGTAACCAGTACACTCCAAATGCAATGGGCATTCAGCCCATGGGACCAGATTAGGACTATTCTGAAGAAAAAAAAAATCACTAAGTTTAGTAGTGTGGGTGTCAGATTCTCAGCACTGATTATTTTGTTCTTTAGTCCTGTCACTGGCTTGCACTACTTGCTAATGTATTCCAAAGTGAAGAGGATCCTGGAAGAGTCCATTGTTCCATTAACCACTGGAGGAGTTTGGAAAGATGAGATAGCTGATTTATTGTACTCAAAAGTGAATGAAACAAATAACCACCAAATGGACAGTGGACTATTTTTCCAAAATTCAGTATTTTAACAAAAGAAACATCCACTAAGCAAAGGCAGAAACAAGTCTGGCACAAGGCCTAAGATAGTGAATTAACTGAGGATGTAAAATACCTCTTGATTACCTCTATCTATCAGATATGATCAATAAATTCAAAATACAAATTGGCCTTTTTACTGTTTACAGCAGTAGCTTCAGGGCTTCATCCAAGCATAAACTGTAGTAAACTAACCATGATTTTATTACCTACTTTAATGGCCACAAAAGAACAGGGCAAACTGCAAAACAAAGCACCAAGACCAATTCCAGCATGACTGATCTAGGTGCCTTATCCACAGATGGCAGGTTGCACCTGCTCCAAATGAAGCTTTCTCTACAAGCTCCAGTCTCTTCAGGGTCATACCTACTGCGGCATAGCCTTACCCATGGTCACTGTCCTTTAGAAGAAACCTTCTCCAACACAGCCTTACCCATGGCTGCACTCCCTCCAGGGGTGTGGCTGCTCTGCTGTGGGCTTATCCATGGGCACATTTCAGGTGCTCCAGCACAACCTCTTGCACTGCTACTGATGTTCAAGGTGTACCTGCTGTGGCCACCCAGGGATTGGCTGCCTCAGGGCAGACCTGTATCACATCCCCGACCATATGCCTGTAGGAGAAAACAGAATCAGGCTCACAGCCCACATCTGGTTGAGTAGGATGTTTGAGGAACTGAGTGGTCATTGCAGTAAGGCTGGAAATATCTACCATGTAGAAGGGAGAGGTGATTCACTCTCTCCAAAAAGCAGCTGAGGAGAGCAAGAACTGTTGCTAGTTCATAACAGGGTTCTCCAGAGACTGGGAGGCAGTGATGCAAGGGCAAATACCAGGCTTGGCCTCATGACAGTGCTTTTATCATAAGTTTCCCAGACATGGAAAAACAAAGTGACAACACAGAAAGCAGCAAAAGCAGAAAGGAGCCATTGACTTGCTCTGGAATTCAAAGTACAGCGAGAAAGGGAGAAAGTAATGGAGCAGGTAAGGCAGCACATCAGAGCTAGGAAGAGCAAGTACTAGCTTGCCAAGTAGCAGCTAAATATCTGTAACAGCTGTAAGCTCAGTCTAGCACACTCTGATCAAATCTGTTATCTTAAACCCCTGAAGCTCCACATCAGGTGCCAAAAAAGACTGTGGTGGGCTGACCCTGGCCAGCAGCCGAGCACCCACATAGCTGCTTGCTCACTCTGCCACTGCAGAAGGCTAGAGTGAGAAAACAGGAAGAACAAAACTGAGACAACTCATAGGTGGAGATAAAGATTGTTTAAAAAGTAAAGAGAAAAAAATCAAACAAAACCCACATCAACCAAAGGAAGTTAGTCTGTCACAACCTGCCACAGGTAGCCTGATGCCCATCCAGTCTTCAGACTGGCCACCTAGGAAGCTACCCCCTGTCCTTTCTTCTTCCTCTACCCTACTTGTTATTACTAAGCAAGATGCTATATGGTGTGGAACATCCCTTTGGCCAATTTGTGTCAGATATCCTGACTGTATCCCCCACCTCCTCACTGGTGGACTAAGAAAACCTTCAGGCTGGGCAAGCACTGCTAATCTGTGACCCACTGAAGTGTCACCTCTACAGCCTCAGCTATAAATGGTGCCATGTGAAGTGCTAAGAGTTAACTCCATCCCAGTTAATGCTCCAAGTGATCATTACAAGAATTGATTTACATGACATCTATGAGTGCCTTCATTGCTTCACTACCTTTAAGGTCTTTCTCATACAATCTATTTGCATGCTTTCAGGGAAGTTACAAAACCTGTTATCTTTCCTGTTAACAAATAGACACTTTTATTCTCGGGAGGAAAAAATTAGTAATTAGCATACCTAGTTCTTTTAGCATCTTTGTTTAGGCACTGAAACAGGCTGGCCAAGGAAGTGGCTGAGTCATCATCCCGGGAGGTGTTTAAAAGATGTGCAGTTGTGGCATTGAGGGACACGGTTTAGTGGTAGACTTGGCAGTGCTGGGTTAATGGTTCGATTCAATAATCTTAGAGGTCTTTTCCAACTGACATGATTCTAATCTTTCTGATTTTTAAAAGTTGATTTAGCATGTTTCCATGGTTACATTGGTGATTTTGTTTTTTTTTTAAGATAAGTAAACTCTGTCAATCTTCATAGTTTAATCCAAGTATGCATTAAAATGGAGTTTTCCTGAGTAGGCTACTCTGAGTTAAATTCTAGCAAAGCTGCTACTAAAGGATCAAAATAACTTTTACTTAAAAAAAACCCCAAAACCCAATGAAACAGGCAAACCCAACCAAACAAAACAAAACAAAAAAACAACAAAAAACCCAACTTGCTCTGTAAAGCAGGCATGTCAAGGAAAAAATTTTAGAACAACTCCAACTTTATAACTATAAAGTTGAAACTTTGTTGCACTGATTTTGTGACATAGCATAAAAACACCAGAAAGGCCAAATGTAACATTCTACATGAAACCACAAAAATTTGATTTTTACATACTCTGTACAAGACTAAAGGGACACAACGCAATACATCTCTTAATAACTGATGTTCCTTAAAACCTAAAATTTAAAATCAAACTTTGTGATTTTTGTCCCAAAATATTCCAACTTTTCTCAAATATAATCAGACATTAATACTCTTGTATTCTCTCTGCATGGTAATAGAGACAATTCTGGTCCTCCATGGTAATCTCTGCTTATAATATGGCTTCACATAATAAATAATACTGCTTCTTCATTCTCTAACCCTTCCTATTCATTTGCAAAGGCAGTATACATTAAAATAACCAGGATTTTTTTTTTTACTGAAGCATTTATTTTACCCAAGAGTGGAAACATAAAAAATTATTGATGCAAAAATTTAGAAAAATCATACAGGTTCAGCTGTGAACAAAAGTTACATCCTTCCTTATGTCTACTTTTCATAACAGTAGCATCACTCCCATTCTCCTTGTAAATGAACCAGTCATTGCTTGCATTAAACTAACATCCAGAGGTTTCAATCAAGGACTTATTGTTCCATGTCCCTGTACAAAGCCATGGCAAGCTCCTACCCTTACTTTGAGTGATACACTTGGGATCTCAGCTCATGTAGACACTGCTGCTAATCACATAGCATATGGCAGTACAACAGCACTGTTCACCTGCAAAACTGCTCAAAACTAAGACAAAATGCAACCAAGTGATGTGAAAATTGACTATAGAGAGCATGGGAGGGTGGATGAGATGGGTAATTCTGAGAAGGCAATGTGCCTTAACTTTGGTGGGTTGCAAGCAAATGGTGCAGGACTTGGGGATGGATCGCTTGGGTTGGGCTTCGATCAGGCAGAGGTCTGTGAAATACCATCACCCATCCTGTGCAAGGCTATTCCCCTGCAGCACCTGCAGTGCACATCAGTACCAGAGCCCTGCCCTGACGGCACAGAGTCTGGCTGCAGAGCTGACCCTACTGCTCCAGATGGAGGTGGGTTTGCCTGCTGCCGAGGCAGAAGGTTTGCAGCCAGGCTGACACCATCACAGGCCATAGAAATGCCCACAGCACTGCTCTACGAGGAGGAATTGTTCCTGCTGTACGTATTCCCTGCAAGGCTGAGTCACAGGGTACAAAGTGCAAAGACTGTGTTCAGTTTGATGTGACACACCTGACAAGGCATTCCAAAGAATACCACACTGACAAGGTGTTCAGGTAAATGGTTACCTAAAGAATTTAACTGAGAACATGCTGTGTAGGATCTCTGCCTACTCATCCCAGATAGTGAAAATCAGCTTTCTTCCACTCCCATATCAAGTTTTTTGTCTCCAGTGCAATATTACCTCTGCATGTATCTAGGCTGAGCATCCCCCCAACACTAAGCCATCTTTTCAGTTGCTACTCTTACACCAACACTTGAAGTTACCCAAATGAAGATTGTACACCATGTTTGCAAGCTCTGATCAGACATCTTCAGTGTTAGCAGGGAAGAGAGCTGTGATTCAGTTGCCTGAGCTCAGGTGTCTGGTGACATTCACACAAGAACCACACTGCAAACAGGTATCGCTAAAAGAATAAAGGCAATCTAACCTTTCCTTACATATTAGAAATGTTACAAAACAGTCTTTTTTATGACAGCACAATGCAGTGTTTGCATAGTATCTCCATATTGAAATGTTCCAAAGTCATAAAACCGCAAAAATTCAACTGAAGTTAGACAGTTGCTAAGCTAAGGTTGGCATTATTCTGACCCAGGCTGACTGTATTCCCTGATGCATCTATACCCATCTGCTATTCTCCTTCTGTTGTGCCAAGATTATCCATCATTTGGGGCAGGGGAATATCTTTTATTTGGTGTCTGTTCAGGACTAAGAAATAGGTGCTACAAGAATACAAATCATCAGTAGCATAGTGGCTGTGATGATTTATTCTCCCCCCTGGCTTGCCTTGTCTGCAGGAGAACTGAAATCCTTGCATGCTTTTTATGAAGGGGCTTGTACTTTTTTTAACACTTGCATCTCCAATAGCTGGTGAAAACAATTCAAGATAATCAATGTATTAGAATTTATGGCTAAATATTAACATACTCAGCAGAAATAGAACTACTGGTTATTTTCTCTACAGCAGGGACAGGTGGTGTCAGTTGCTCTTGTTAACCAAGGCCAATTGAAGGGGTAACAGGTATGTGATTGAGCAAACCAGGGGTAGGTTTTGCTCATGGCTTGAGCAGGTATGCCAGGAAACAGGCTGAAACAGTAGAAGCTGGACTTCCACTGCAGAAGCTTTCTGCAGATATTTGTAATTACATCAGTAATTCTGCAAGAAGGAATCTCTCACAAGTCTGTTCTTGCTAAGAAATGTGCAGTAGCTATGGTTACCCAGCAAACAGGGACAGGAGGCAAAGCTGAACCACTGCTCTGGGCACTGTACACCATTTTTAACATCAAAAGCCTAGTTTTAGCTTTCCAAATAGAACTATGAGAGCAGCCACCCACGTTCCCCATCACAGTGTGTTTGCATATATAAGTATGTGGCTATGCATGTGTGGGTATACATATATAGATCTATAGTAGGATGACAGGATGACAAAGAGAACAAAAAAGGAGTCAGCTTTTAGATCATCATACAATTATGAAATTAGAAATGTACTCATAGACAACAATCTTGCACACTTGGTTAGTCAGCCTAGGATCAGCACCACAGGACTTTCCCTGGCAAACTTCTGTCTGCTACAGGGAGGAAATGTCTTCAAGTGTCTTCATTTGGCTCTGATGATTGCGAGGATTGCTCAAGACCTACAGGAAATTCCCTGGAAAGGAACTACGTCTACATTGTAGCCTAAATGCAATCATTCTAGAAAAATTTCCTTATTTAGGGTAATGTACATAAATAGTGCTGTAGTGTAGAAGCAGCAATGTGGAACTTAGCATATGCCATGGCCTGCCCTAAAAAACTGGGTAAATACTTAAGCAACTAGTCCACACTGAATTTCATTTAAAATGGCTTCACATAGTCATCAAGCTCATAAATGGGTGCTTGAGAGAGGGTGGGGATAGTTTTATGGGCTGCAGCCCTATTCATATAGTGGATTCCCCAAGCATGAACTCAGACCTGGCTAACTTCCTTTGTATCTTCAATGGAAATGACTTAAAGCCTTACCTATCTACCTGCTA